AATGAAATTCGCAGGTGTCATCAGATCCACAGGCCTGGCCGTACAGATCTTTTTCCTTTTTACAGGACGTTTCAGTTTGGCATCCCTTTCGATACACCATGACTTTCTTTCCTTGCATGATCAATTCAGTGGCAAACTTGCCGCACCTTGTTTGTCCTTCTGCGCAGCGTCCAGACGTAGTTTTTTGCACGCAGTCGTCCATTGATTTTGCGCTTTTACACATATAGCACTTCAAGTTGTCACCTGAGAGTTATTATAAATGAAATATATAATAATTTTTGACTCTGAAGATGATATACCGCACAGTTTGTCGAAAAGTTAATCTCTGTCAACAACAGTCCTATTTGGGACCACACTCACCCGCACGATCATATCCCCCCCACTTATAAATATATAATCAGCTGTCAACAAAGTACAAGATATTCTGGAGTTTTAGTGTTTAATTTCCGAAAAAAGTTCAGCCTCTAGAGACTACGGTCCTAAAAGAGACGCAAAGCGAGGCTCCCTTGTGTCTGTAACGCACAATGGCACTCTTATAGCTTTTGAAATTTGCTGTGATGGTCACCTGATACAAAATCAGCAAGAAACGAAGTTAGTGAACGAAAGTAAAGAGCTTGTTCGACGAGGCTGGATGAGGTTGTTAAAACTTTGGAACCCATTCAAACGGATTTAAAAGACCCTTAAGGTACCACAATGTTGCTTGTTCTCCAGGTTGCCGTTCTCGTGCCATATGACTTATGAATATGTTAAGGGCCAAGTTAAAACGGACTAGGCTCTTTGCAGCTTGCCATTCACGTAGTACAAAACCGCCGTGCTGGAGAGCAAGGGACACACTGGGACAAGACAAACAAAAGGACGTAAAAGGCATACATAATTTTAAATGGTAATTTCCTTTGTTTGTCTTGTCCCACTGCGACTTTTGTTCTCAAGGATGACGTTTTCTACCGCGTGAATGGCTAGCTGTAAAGGGCCTATTGTACCCTACTATCCGCCGGTCATCCTGATGATGATCTTAAGTAGGATTAACAACAATGAAATTCAGTTTGAATGTTAAAACTAAGAGAAGCACCATACTTTTTGCTAGAGGTCTATTGCAAGACGTTGTGTTGCAGCATTCGGACGTACACTTTGCCCTGGCGTTGTCTTTCCCGACCGCTGTACAAGATGCCTCAGCCGCCCTGCAGTCGCGAGAAGATGCGCACCCGTATATACCAGATTCTTTGCCGTCTTTGCTCATCATCTTTTTCAGGCATCTGTCCTGGCCGGTTTCACAAGTAACGTTTTTAGCGCTCATGCTGTCACATTCCTGAATGCTACCACTGCACTGGAAACATTTAAAGGTAACACCTGTAGGAAAATGTTCTATGTTGGTTAGGCGGTACTAATCAATGTATGTTTTCTGTTATATTACCTCAAACCTCGTTGTCAAGAATGATATTAAATATGTTAAAATTGGTCTTATTGGTTCTAATCTTCTCAATCAATCGTTCGAGGTTGAAATCCCGCGAAAACTAGAGACGCGAAATTCATAGTTCTGTCAGTTCCGAAATAAATGCTTGATACTTTTAGTGGCAATATATATGGCCGGATATTTGATAATGTTATCGCCAAATGGGCCTTTTGCGTCCAACAGTTTTTTTGGTAAACCTATCTCCAAAGTAGCTATTATCGTAGCTTTTATTAGTTTATTTTAATCACCTTTGAGGTGACCGGTTATGTCGGCTGATTCTTTGATACCAGACAAAAACGTCTCCAAACCGCT